TTGGCAGAGCTGGACTTCGACAAGGGCGGCACAAAGCTCCTTCTCCTCCAAGAGCCCAGGACATGGGAGCTGTGGGCTCCTTTCAGCCTCCTATGTCCCAGCAAAGCAGCCCAACCTCCTAGCTCTGGGGCAGCCATGGCTGTGAGGACCTGCCAGGTGCCCAGCTTCAAGCAGGTGGGTAAGGGGGAAGCCATGGGGCCAGAAAAGGAGGAAGGAGGGAACCTGGGATCTGGCAGCTGGTCTCCAACGCTGCTGATGTGCTTTACCCTGGGACTTGCAGTTGGGACTGCACTCATGGTACTCACGTGTGCTCCTTTTTCTGAAGGGAAATCAGAGACCCTGAGCTTTTCCTCACTCGGATGCCAGCCCGCTGCCTCCAGGTAGAGATCTGGGTCTGTCCCTTCTGCTGCCAGCTGCAGCGAGGACACCCACGTGGAGGCTTTCCGGAGAGTGCAGCTGCTCCGGCATCAGGGACAGGGAGTTGCAAGCAGGGAGAGCGCATGGGGAAGATGCTTGCTCCCTGCCCCCAGGTCTGCCCAGCAAAATGAACATTGGAAACACTGGAAACACGGTCCCCTGCTACCCCACGCCCAGGGCAACATCCCTGCCCACCCCCACGATGCTTCTCCACGTGGCTCTCCAGGGGCCTTATCCCACCAAGCCGGTGCTCTCAGCAGCTGCCTTGTGATGATGGAGATCAGGGTTCAAGGCCCTTTGGGGTAGCCTGCTAGGTCTTTGCTGTCCTGAGACCACCTAGCTGCTAGACAAAAGGACAACACACATGTTGAACTGCTGCTAGCTGCAGTTTCCGGTTGCTGGTAAGGTGTTTAGCTGGGTACATGAGATTCAGACTGTCACGTACGAAGTTGCAGAACATCTTTGGGCAACCTAAAAATAATGCAAAGGCCACATAGGTGTCTTCACAGTGAACCAGAATCGGGCCCTATTCATCAAGGCCAAGAACTGGCCCAGCACCTCTCACATCCATGTACGTGTAAACCTCCAGTATTAATTGCTACCCATGCAAACCCAGCCCATGCTTGGCCTCCCTGAGGAGGAAGGCTGGCCCTTCCCCAGAAAGACAAAGGAATGACACAGGATGCAGGATGACACAAATTATATTTCGGAACATTGCCAAGAAACAAATGGGACAAATCCATCTAGTACATGTCACCGGAACCGGGAGTCACAGCTCTGAATACAATGGGAATTGCTTCTGTTTTGTATAACAAAACAAAAATTAAAATTAAAAAAAAAAGAAAAGAAACGAAACACCCAAAAACCAAACATTTCTCGGGCCGTTGCAATTAAACTCAGAGACTGAATTAACAGAAGGAAAAGAGATAGCCAATACATCATCAAAGTCATGGCCAGGGGTTCAGTTAAAGAGGAGAAATAAGAAACCAAGGGTTGCATCTGGCAAACCTCAAGTCGTGAAGCACAGACTAGGAGACAGCATCAGTGGTAGATGCTCTAGGAACAGGTGAGAGCTTGTGTAGCCAGAGGACATATCCACATACAAGCCAATGCGGGACAGTCTTAAAAAGCCACAGCATCTCCAGTTAGATTTGCAGCTAGGAGGCCTGCAATGACCCTCTAACAACGAGCAGTCATTTCAGTCACAACCGCTGGGGTGTCCCTGCCAGCGAGCAGCACGCTACGGACACAACGCTCTGAACGGGACACGTGAAGGGCCCGTTCTGCAGGCCACTTTTCCATTTGCTTTCTGCACTAGGTGCCCCACCGCCAAGCATCTGCCTCCATGCTACAGGGAAGACCCCCTGGCATGGGCATTTGCTGCTTGGGACCTAAGCTCCAAGAGGACCTATGGGGTGAAGTGTTTTCCAGCCATGCTGTGCAGAGTCTCTATGGCAAGAAGAGGCCTCTGCCAGCCCTAATGAGCAATACCTAGGTTGGCTTTTATGACAGCAGTTGTGATCTGACTGCAGTGCATGCTGCTTGCTAAGTGACAGGAGCTACACAGACCTACAGGGTGGGAAGGGGCTTTGGGGATCATCTAGTCCAGGCCCCTGCACTGAAACAGGTTTTGTGGTTCCTAAACCATCCCAGATGGACGCCCAGCCACCGATGGGCACGTGCCCCCTGCAACAGCAGCGGTGGCAGCACAGGAGTGACTGGAAAACTTGAAGAGTCTGACCCAGCACTGCCACCCGTCTGCTTCCGAGTGATTCCCTGGGATGGAGAAGAGACGGGTGTCCTCTCCCTGCCGGACAGGCGCTCAGTCCCCTGTAAGTGGCAGTGGAGATTCAGGGGCCTGAGCTGCCTTCCCGGAGCGCGCACATCCTGCAAACGCCTCGTGCGTCCAAGGTAAGTTGGGGAACGCGGCAGTGGGGAACGGCTAGGCGGGGCCAAAGGGGGCAATACCCCCAGGGGCCAACCCCTGCTGGGGAAAGGCATGGCCGTGGGAGTTGCCAGTGAGCAGCACAGGTGCAACACAGTTATGGCAGTGGATTAGACAGCTACATCCATGTTGGCCAACCCCCATGGGGAGAAGACTGACGGGGCCATCTGGGCCGCTCTGCCCCTGCAGACTCCCCTGCACATGCAACAGCAAGGTGCGGGAAGACTCGGCCTACCCTTACACTGACTGGGGGCTCGACTTTGCTTCTGGCTGTGGGCTCGGCAGGGCTTTCCCAGCTTCTTTTCCCCTCCTCTGTTCCAGCACCACTGGAGAGGAGCCATTTAGCACAGAAAAGGAGGGGAACTTTATAGCCCGTGAGTCAAACTGCACCCAGGTGTCACTCCAGTTGGGTGACAGGGATGCATGGGTGGGGTGGAACCGATGCTGGATGCGACCCACAGGCCCCAGGTCAGCACAGTCCATATCCGGGGGCATGCGTGTCACCGAGTCATATGGCACTTCAGAATGGGCAGCTTCACTGTGCTGATCTGGGACCAAAATGGGACAGATCCAAGGAGGTGCTGAGCACCTGCTGCTGCCCTGAGGAGGGCTGTGGGTGCTCTGCACCCTTCAGGATTAGGCTCTAATGACACAGAAGATGAAAGGTGCCATCAGTCTGCTCAGATGAGATCAGTGCAAGTTGGGTCCTCTAGGAAGGGGAGGGATTTGGCAATGTTTGCTCTGGGGGAAGAGCTGATCCACAGCCCTCACCCTGCACTGGGACCGGGGCTGGATATGGTAGCACACGGGCCCTGAGTCTGGATGAGCCCAAGCCCTTCGTGCAAGGGGCCAAGGCACCTCAGTGATGTCAAGGACATTTGGCCCCCCTACAGAGGAGGCTCGGGCATCTTGCTAGAGGGAAAAGATACCCATGCTAGCGACAAGAGAAGTGAGCTCTGAGAATAGAAAAAAAAGAAGGTATAAAAGAAGAGAGGAAATGCTCAGGCAGGGAGAGGAGAAGCTCCAACACTCTGCCCTGCAGCCCTCTCCTTAGCCCCAGCCGTTGTCACCGCTCAGAGGATTCACCCTCAATCCTGAAGGAAGAGACACTTTGTCCCCCAGACACCAGGATGCAGCCAGCACACCACACAGAAATGGCCGGGGGATGCTCTACCTCTTTCCCTGTGCACCCAAGGCCTCTCTCTCACTCCCTCACTTTCTCCTCAAAACTTCCAATTTTAAGCAGAAGCCATGAAACTAAACGAGCATGACAGACAGAATCCACACTGAGCCGTAGCCCTCAGGACTTGATCCAAAGCCCACTGAAAATCCCCGACTTCAAACGGCAGCACATCCAGCCCTGAGAGAAGTGAGGCAGCAACGACGATCACCGCCTAGGAGCCAGATGAAAGTCCTGCTCTCAAGTGAAAAGGCAGCCTGAGCTATTTTCAGGCATTTCTTTCGAGTTGCTGCCTTTGGGCACCTGTACACACCATGGGGTTTAATCCTCATTAAATTAAATACGTTTATAAAATTTAAAACTTTTTTATTTTGGAGCATCACATCAGTGTTTGCATGTACTAGGTTTTCAAATGATTTAAGTCCGGTCCATGGCCAGCACCACAGGAGAGCAGCATCGTCCAGCGCTGCCCCCCCCAGTCCAGGGCCCCCCACCCTGCGCCCTGCCACACAGCTGGAGGCAAGGAGCTGGCAAAAGAAAAGAAAAGAAAAAAAAGAAGCAGAAGCAATTCTAAGGGGTGAACTACAAAAAAGTTGCACCACCATCTGGTGGGCAAAACGGCTCATTACATGTCTTTGTTTGCACGCAATGAATCAATGGATGCAACATTTTAAGTCGCAGTGAGCCAAACTAAACTACACCCAAGAAGTTTTACTTTAACGTGCTATAAGGACTTTGAAATCGTCCAGAAAACCTGGTCATGCAAACAGTCATGCTGTTGCAGCGCAAGAAAGGGCAGAAAAAGTGGCATGTACAAACGCCCTTTGGATACAAGGGATGACTAGCATGGAGTGCTTGGAATCGCTCAATGGTCCTCCTAGCCAAGAAATGCACCCGCCATTGTTAGCAGGCAGGTGAGAGAAGCCACCCCAGGGTGAACCTGACAAGCTGGGAGCCACACATCCTCCAAGTAACATCCTGGCCTGTAACCTCAACCTCCACATAATAAACTCATACCGCTGCTATTATCAAGGAAGCTGGAAGCAGAAGGAAGGAGAACAGTGTTTGCTTCCTTCATTATCGCAGAAACGTGTGATCTTTGCCCTCTGGGACACTGCGAGGCAATTCCAGGGGAGCACAGAGCTAGGATAAAGGTAGAAAAGCAAGAGGCCCTTCCTTATTCTGCCTACCACCCCATTTGGCAATGAGGGATGAGAAACACTCTTATATTCACCCAGTAAAACTCTCCAACAGCAACTTCTCAGCCAGCGAAAATGTAGCTTACCTGGAGCCCTCAGACCAGAAATGTGCCTACTGTGGCAGCTAGCAGGGCTGGGACTAACTGGGTGACCTTTTTCAGATGAATCAGTTATTCGCAGAACGCAGTTTGGGGGAGGATCAAGACTACTGGCCATGCTGAATAACACTGAAGCATTGTGACTTTTTGCAAAATGTTCCTTTTTTTTTTTAAGCAACGTTTTAGCTTTTTCAAAACAAGCTTCAAAATCAAACATGCGGAAAATGACTCTCAAAAGTGAAAACACTCCCCCCAAAAACCGGCCGCAGTGTTTTGTCTGGGGTTGAATGGCTCGACTGCGAGCTGTGTTGCTGGGTAAGCCAACTATTCCTTATCTTTCAGTTCAGCCAGCGAACTGAGCAAGCACCGATGCGTCCAGCTCCGCTTGGGCGTTTGCTGCTCACGTCGTACTAAACCAGCAGACTGGGGGCTCATCTCACTGGGGAGGTTCAAATACAGCCATGGGGCAAAGCAGATGTAACAGCAGTGAAATCAATGGAGCTCTCTAGTGAGCTACACCAGCGCTTAAACTGGGCTCGTGGAAGCCAGGCCTGTTTTCTGCACTACACTACATGCGATATCAAACAGCCTCTTACTAAGCTGCAGCTCCTTGGAAAAAGCTGGGTCCAATCCTGCACTCCTCAGCTACCCTACAGTCCCACTGAGTAATGCAAGACCCGGACTTATCTGGGATGCACACTGTGCGGCTGGAACATGCGTTCTACTCCGAGCAATTTTATTCTGGAGCAACACTTCCCCTTTACCCTCCTGCAGTGCTTGGGAGCGTTTAAATACACCTGAAAGCTGCATCCCCATCATGCAGATGCTCAGTGCCACTTCTGCGAGGGACAATACAGTACTGGATAGATGCTTTGCAAGCTCCGTACAATGAGAAGTCCTAAGAAAGGGTTTTTCTTGTGACATGCTGGCTTTTAAAACACAAGACAAAAAAGAAATCCACAATAAATTAGAAGTCGGCACAGCTTCTTATGGTGCTCCTCACCAGGAAAACAAATACTTGAGAAACAAACTGGAGCTCTGGGTCTTATAATCTTGTCATATTTAAAAAAAAGGAAGATAGAATAATTCACTGGTTTTGCATAAAAATAAACACTTTTAAGCCAAGAGTTTGATGTTAAACAGGATAAACCCACTATGTTATATTTTTATATTTTTATATATATATTTCTATATAAATTTATAACTTTTTTCTAACATTATTCTTTGAAGGAGTAACTGGGTTTGTATAAATGCATAAAAATAGAGCTTTGAAAGGACAGTGGGATGATCAAGACGACCTTGATTTAAAAAAATAGGAGAATATGCTATAGCAGTGGCTCACGGCACCATCACCCACTGTGCCCAGGGCTGCAGTGCTGTGAGCGTGTGCTCTCAAATGCTGTAGTTTGTATATGGGCGCGTGGCAGAGGGGAAAGAAGAAAGGACTATCCATTGCAGCAAGTGTTTCCCCCCCCAAAACACAAACGAGCAAACAAAGACAATATGAAGAGGAGCCGGGGCCAAGGATCCAGGTCTGATCTCGCTTACACCGATGCAGGATTCAGAAGTTGGACCACTGGACTTAGCTATAATACTTTAAAGAGATACGACGCCAGCACTCCTTAATGCACAGGAGTGTAACTGAGATCAAAACCTGACCCTTGAAGAGAAGACAAGTCCACTTTTGACCTATAATAGAAGGATGGTTTTCCTGTTATCCTACAAGCAAATCCGAGCGCATCGGAGAAGGGGGGGTTCAGTAGTGTCACTGGGCCAGCATCCTGGACGTGCTCAGATGCTGCCAGCGGGTATTAAATAGAAGGGTCATTTCATACAGTGATCTTGTCCCAGGAGAGCAAGAGGTAGCCTCACCCCTAAGGGTCCCTTTAAAGGAAAAAAAAAAAAAGGAGTTGGGGCAGAAGGGAATGACCTAACAAAAGATCTGATCTGCTTGCCCAGCGGCATCCATGTTCAAGTATAAATTGAAAGTACCGTTGTGGGATGTGCGGGTCTTGGAGGATCTAAACTGTTGATTTTGACAAGCATAATACTCCCTTGTAAACACCTTGCAGCCTGGTTGCTTACAAGAAAACCAAGTCCAGAAAACTAAACAGGAGCTAAAAATGGTGGGGAAGATTACTGTCAGTACTAGAACATGGCATGTTGTTATCCCCTCCTTTTCTAACTCACAGGGATAGGATAAAGTCATGCAGCTCTTAAATAAAGATTAAAATAGCTAGCTTTTCTCCGTCTTTGACTTATTCCCCAGCACAGCAATGGAGGAGGCAGGTCTAACAGGCATCTTCAAAGCAAAAAATAAGCATCCCACAATCAGAAACACAGAAAGCAGACTGGTTTTCTCAGCGGCATTTCTCAGCTATGCTTTTGTAAACTTTCCTGTTCCCACCCCTGCCCTTAAAAGTGCACTTGCTAAACCACAAGCCTTCGGGACCACCACTCTTTCTCTCCGTATAGATATGAATCTACTTTGGGGCGGGTGGGGGGGGGCGGTTCTTTTCCATTTCACAACTTGTGCCAACCAATCCAGAGTTTCAGCTTTTTTAATGTCTTAATTTGGAGGATCTGCCTGAAGTAACATTTCACAGGAAGGCAACTATCGCTGCGATACTCCACCTCCCGCGTCTTGGGGAG